CGATACGAGTCATACTTATTGCTACAAGTAAATTTCGCGTTGTCTTCCGATTCACTGTTCATACTCCTATTTGTCTTGTTATTTTTATTTGGGGATGGTTTAGAAATATCTGTATCATCACTACTACTACCGGAATTCACTTTAGATTTACTTTTAACTGGTCTACCCCTTCGCTTATTTTTCTCATTTTCTGATCCACTGATGGAAGGTCTGGACTTATTAGGAGGACGGCCACGCTTCTTGGCTTGTTTCTCGCTGTCTGAATTAGTTTGTTTGATTTTTTTAGGCCTTCCGCGAGTCTTATTTTGCTTCTCATCTGAGACCGTATCTAGTTTTTCCATTGAAATCTTTGATAACCTGTCATCACCGGAGACAGCTTTAGTCGACGACGATGAAAAATCGTTTGAATGAGTTGGCTCATCGTCGCTCGAGTCGGAATCTACTAAACTAGGCAAACGAGTCTTAGTACAGCGCCTTTTCTTCCTAGTATTGGATTTTGGGTATGTATCATTATCACTATCCTCTAAACTTGATAGCAAACTTTCAGGTTTTATATTCTTAGCTTCAGCTAAGACCTCTTCAATATCTTTTGTGCAACTGAAACAGTCTAATTCATCTGGTTGATTTTTTGAACTTTTTTGAAATAATACTGATGATGGAGGGCATCTGTCTACATGCTCTATAGTGTTTGGTATGCTGGGAGATTCGCGAGTATTCTCGGTTTTATTAAAGAAGGAAGCTAAATTCCAGCGAGTTTTCGATTCAGTTTCAATTTCAGGTAACGGAGATACTAAGGCAGGTGTATGCGTCGTACATATTTCTGGATCTGGAAATAAGCCGAATATATGCAAGTTATGGCAGAAAATCTGATAATTTAGGTTCAAAATAAATTAATATAAAAAACACTAGATCAGATCATTGTAACTGATGCAATTTATATCATGAGAGTGTTTGAAAAGCTCACATTTTTTCTGTTTAATACCGTGTTCAACAATTAATATATTTAAACAATATATATTTATAAACAATATACCATAATAATTGATATAGTCAATAGTAAAGATTTCATTTACTGAAATTGAATTTCTAAATACACAAGCTTTCATGCAAAAAATAGTATAAATTATAATAAATAATAAATTTATAATAAATAAAAATAATAAATATACTTCATTCTTGCAACAGTTAGTTATTTTACAATTTCAATTCATAGGTTGAGAAATTAAATAATAATTATTTGTTTCAATCTAATTTTAACTATACTTCACTATTTATAATTAACTTTTTTCATAGTTATTAAATTAATTTGAAATATACACATATATATGAATAAGTTCTTCATGGGCAATACATCAAATAAAAGAAAGATTTAGAAGTTAATCTTTAATTTTTCCAAACGTTTTGATATAAATATGGTCTTACATCCGTAACTTGCGCAGGGCACATAATTTTGCACTATCATATATACACTAACTTGTTTTTTCTTTGTTTTTTGTTGAAAGGAGCATAGCAAAGTATTTGTAAAATATATATTTTGCACCAACTTGTTAGCTAATGCGTATGACTTCGAGGCAATAATGCACACATGCACAATCACACACACACACACACACACACACACACACACACACACACACATATATATATATTAACATATATTATATACATATATATAATTTAAATTCATACCATTTTTAGTAGGTGCAGTTTCTTCAGTAGTGTCATCGCTGGAACTGGAACTCTCCGAACCAGATTCACCTGTGTCATTGCTGCTGGAGTTATTATTACAAGCTGGAGATGGACTCCTTACGATAGGTTTAACTTCCAATGCACATATAGCCACAGGCCTATAAACAAAAGTTATCCAACGTTAATTTAAAAATAATAATAATTTTAAACATGTATGTCAAAAACTTACGGATTGCTTATTGGTTTTGGTTGATAATTTGTGGGATGAGTGACATCTTCATCACTGTCATCAGATAAACTTAAATCACGCTCTAAATCCCTGAAAAATAATATAATACACTAAGTTGAACTTGAAAATATATGTAATTGATACAGATTTTTTATTAATGCAACTTACATGGACTGCCTCCCAGAAGAATGCCTTTGTATCTGAAATATTTTCATAATTCATAAAACCATTAACTTAATTATTTGAATTTGAATTTTTGATATTCAAAAGGTTTAATTAAAATCAAATAAATATTTGATATTTATAAACTTAACATATATCCTATTTAATTAACAAAATATAACTTTTGCAAAAATAATGATATGAAGAAAACCTAATATTTCAAGCTTCCAACATATAGAGTTAATATAAATATCAAATAAGCCGAATATATGTAATGCAAAATTGCATTACAATAGCAATTTTTGTAAATAAAATAGTAAGTAATAAATTTCCAGAAAGTATGAATCATAAAGTACACAAAATTCAATACTCACAAATAAATATAATATAAATTATCACATTATAATCAACAAATAAGATATAGATCAAGGTGTAAAGTATAAAAATTCAATCAAGTACAAAAACATGTTTTTAAGTGGGAAAGTAACATTTATTAATTAATATGAACACATCTAAATTAACTTACATGTAGGACTAGGAATTGGACTTGGCTTCCGAGGACATGGTTCGAGCACCTAAAATGAGGATTTAAAATAATTTTGCCTTTGTTACATATCAATTAACTTATAATGAATAAAATTTTTTAAAATTCATCATTATACTTATTGAAATATAATAATAAATAAAATAATTACTTTTACAAATCCACTGTTAAATTCAAATTTGTGATCTATTTCTTTTCCCGGAGTAGCAGCAATAGAAGTTAGTGGGGTTAAGGGCAACGAGGTCATTTCCTGAAAAATTAATATCATATCAATATTTGATTTTTTAATAGCTTCATTAATATTGAATAGCTAAAGTATAAGTAAATTATATGGCATATATTGAATAATAATATTACCTTCAAAATAGTATCAACTTCATTACCACGCAGACCTACATCACAGTTATTCTGCAAATAGAATGTACAAGATTTTAGTTTCAATTATTTATTAAATATTAAATAAGCATCTCAAAAAATACAAATCTAATATTAGCAAATGCATGTAAAAACATTTTTGAATAATCAAACAGCATTCATCTACAGGCATAAATTTCAAGAGTGAAAGTTATTAAAATTATTGAGGTAAAAATATGTATGAATTTATAAAGGTATTTACAACTATTACATACCGCATAAGAAGAGGGCATCTCTCTCACCATATTCTGATAGTTTCCCATATTAGTATTTAAGGTTAAATTTTTATTTAACCCATTCCTGTTATCAAGATTGCTGACAGAATATTTATTGGGCTGCATATGGTATGAAGAACTACTATTAGTTTTAACACTTGGTACATGTTTGCTGGTATCAATTGGGCAAGTAGGTTTGTAAATATTACTCCTATATGATGAAGAAGGTTTTAGAGTATTAGAAGACATCCGCTGAGATGTTGATCCAGGGCACATATTTCCAGTTGGCTTTTTAAATTCGGGTGGTTGAGATCTGTTCTGCATCCCATTACTGAGTAAATTTGAAGATGGTATTCCATCATGTTTATAACGCTTTTTATCATCCGTCCACAATCTATCGTAATTTCCTAATTTCCTCTGAATCTGTTGTCCCATATCATCAGTACATGATGGGCTTATCTGTATTAAAGTAATGCTTATCAAGAACATCCTCATAACTACACTAACTAAATGCAACATACATACTACTCAACCAATAACAAAAAACTTAAGTTAGCATAAACTTTCACTATGTTTAAGAAATCCCTGACATATACTATTAAAACATTGAGTTTGTGTGGATAGATTATTACAAAAAAATTACATTTAAAGTAGCATCTGACTCTTGTATTTCAAAACAAAATGTTTATCAAAATCTCATCTCAATCGCAATTTAAATTTTGTGGATAAATACAATCATGAAATTTTAACCTGTTTCATGTTAATTAAAATATTTTTGATTATTTATAATAAATGACTGGTTATTGCATTGATTAACTCAAAAATAAACAAATCAGAACTATATATATATATATATATATATATATATATATATATATATATATAAAATATATATTCATGATTTATTAATATCTAGCGAACAAAAAGCATAAATCAATCATATGCTACTATAAAAATCATCCCATCTACCAATGATAAATTAAATAATAAAGTGAGTATTATATGTATAACTGTAACTCAAACAAGCTATTATATTCATCAGAAAAAAATATAAATATATAAAAATGTTTTTAATCACCGAAATAAAATGATGCATTTGGGTATATAAGCTCAAATATATATATCAATAATTAAACATATCTTACTTTAACTGGAGCATCAAATAATTGGTGTTCTGGTTCAGATTCACGTTCGGCTTGTAGTGACATATGAGCTCTGGCTTGTCTTTCTCTCTCGCGAATGCGATCCCTTTCCGCACTAAAAAAAAAATTACCTATTTATCCCAGAAATGATTATTTTTAGGCAACATAAAAAATGATATGTCAAAAACTTACCACATATTACTACAATAAGATCAAATCCAGTTATTCTATATACTGCACTAAACAATACTTTTAATTCAATCAGTTTTCAATAGAAGCTTTCCATTCCCATTTTTCATACAATGACAAAACTCTGAAAAGTGATCATTAAAGACAATAAATGTACATACATCCAAGCTTAATTAAATTTAATGAAAATGCACTTCAAAACAACTTAAAATTAACCCAATTTGCTCTCAGCTCTCAAAAGAAAACAAATGGAATGGTATTTAAATGTCACAAGCAGTTGTCAAAAAAATAAGGTGTATGTATACACATATTAATTTATGGTAAAATTAAAATTGACTAAGCTAATATATTAATATTAATTGAAATATATAGTGCTCTTTTGTAAAAATACTAACAAAAACTTATAAAATGTATGTACATAAATTATAGTAATGTCAGCTTTTACTAAATCAGGTATTGTAATAAAATAATGGATATGTATGTATAAAAAATAATCACCTGGGGCGTTTCTAAATTGAACTTATACTGATTGAATTATATATTGAATAAGTTTTGCATTAAAATTTTGTTGAATGAATTTTACAATATTGATCATATTTCTATCATTTAATTATTCCGATATATTGGCATTAAGGCCGATAAAAATTATACTTTCGATTATAATATCACTTTCAACTTACCGTGGTTTCTTCATGATAAATGATTTATACTATAAATAGTTAAATATAAACCACATATGTCTTGAAAACGAACATATTCCATTTCATTAATATTCCACAAAACACTGCGCACTTAACATGTCCTTATATTTCGGAATATGATTTATTAAATTCCGTCGTGCATCATCTATTACTTATACTGGTCCTGTAAAAGATAATGTTAGACATTTATGAGAGGCAGCTTAATAATTCCGTATGAGTCGGACGTTTCAAGTTATGTATACTTTTCAACAAACTGCTTTTCCATGTTACTTAATTATATCGCAGTACTTTTCTACATCAGAATTATTGTCCATAACACACGCGAAAATTATACTTGACACAGCTCATAAAAAAAACCAGTAGGAATCACTAAATGACATTCATTTAAAAAAAATACTTTGCACAACAACCTCATTTTCCAAAATGTACAAACTACATAAATGAGTAGAAATCAACGTACCTGAACTTGCATTTAATTACAAGATTATAACCACCATTAGAACGCTAAACTACCAATATGGCAAACCATAAACAACTCGAATGCGCTTTCATTTTCGTTTTCATTATAAATATTCTATATTTATTTATTATTATAATTTATTTTCATTCATTTATATATATATATATATATATAATTAATGAAATATTCGTGCTCCATAAGTTGCATACCCCTTTTGTTTTTTTTATTTGTTTCAGTTTTACTCCATACTTTCGCTTTCATGCTTACTAGTGTTAAAAACGCTTAGAATATTTTGTGACATATATTGTTTTTATTTAATTGCAATTAAATGTCTGCAATTAAGAATATATTTCGAAATCGAACAAATCAAATAAGATAATCTTTGCCTAATGCTAAGTACTTAATACTGTGAACATATGCTCGGGACATGATTTCCAACATAATAATAAAAAATTTATCTGTCTATAAACTATTAAAGAGATATAGTTTTTTAGTTTTGAAATATTGAAATTTATTACATATTTTAAACTAATTAAGCTAATATTAAATCGTCCATATACTAATTATTTAAAAAAAAAATTCTTTATTCTCTTTTCTTCAACAGTTGATAACAAACTAATTAATCATTTCACAGACAATATACAGACATTATTAGAACAAAAGCACGTTATTTATACTATAAATTTTGTCATTTCTGTTTTCAGAAACAGACATTCACTGGAGCATTACAAATAATGTATAATGATAAAATGAACATGGTAAATTCATTTATTTCGTAAATTGAATAATGCTTTAGAAGAATGTTTTATTAGTTCATCCTTGGAGAAAAAAAATAAAATACATAAAAAATGGAAAAATTATCATTGTCACCAAATAATTCATGCAATTATTAATTTACAGGCTATTGAAGCCAGTGCAACAAATTATAAATTGATGTAAAATTCAACAATAACATCAACAAATAAACAAGAAAGTTGTCAGTTCAATAGAATCCATCATAATAAAATTAAAACTCATCAATATCAAGAAGGCTTTTAACTAAATTATTAAAAAATATATAAGACTTATATTGTTTTAAATTTAAATATTAAGAATAAAAAACATTTTTTTAAATATTTATTTTATTATTTCAATGGGTATGTGGGGTTTTACATTTATTCAACAATACTTCACTTTTGCAACTTATAAAGAACTACTTATGTATAAAAACTCTATTTCATCAAATGCTTTGATAATGGTCTTTTAAAACCAATAATACTGGTAACATTATAACATATAGATATTGTTAATACTATCTCAAGAGAAGTTATAAAAATTAACTGTGATATCTTAATTTCATAAATTAAATTTATACAAATTTACAAGCTAATCACTGGAATTATTCACGCTATTTTAAATGACTGATAATATATTTATAAAATAAAAATGTAATGTTTGTGCATATCATTACACAACAGTTTACCAATATTCTAAATTGCTTCTTTATGAATATCATTACATATATACAATATTAAAATCAAATTAAACTGTAGGATGCAAGATGTCATTTGCAAAATGATATCCATAGCCACGAAATGCATGATAAATTATTAACGATTTATTATAGTGATATATTTATTAGTTTAGGTTGTTATTTACCATGTATTTTTACTATTTGAAAACAACGGCTCATTCGAATAACTATAAAGAGAATCTCAAATCTACAAGTAAAACTCCATCAATTTCATCACTGCAGATGTAAAATATAAATAAATATTATAAATTAATATCATAAAATATTTTACTTTAAAACATAGACTTGACAAACCAAGCTATATTGTTTTGATCAATAAAATATCATAAGTAATGTAGTTTTAAAATATAAAAATCATTTAAACAAAAAACTTGTTAAACTATCAATTAGTTTATTGTTTAATCAATATAAATATGATTATTAGACTCATTCTTTGGATCATTTAACTATTTCATGAATATTATTCACATAGTATGAAAATATGTCTATTATATATGAAGATGTACATCCCTGAAAAGCCTTGGCTTGGATTTGCTTTGCAATACACATCCACACAAAAGTATCTGAGTAAATTCAAATTTAGGAAATATCTAAATGTCTCTATGAAAAATAAAAAGACAGCTGTGAATCTTAAGTAATGAACTGAGGTAACTTTATTGTATATTTTTATATTATTAAAAATGTTCAGGTATTTAAATATGGCAATTTGATGATTTTGTTGATCTATGTAGTATTATGAGATGATATTTTGTTTTAGAACTTTTTCTAGACAATATAAATCTAAAGAAAATGTTCTAAAACTAATTTTATATAAGATTATTAGATATTTAACTAATTAATGAACTAGATATATACACAAAACAACCATTCATCTCAAAACATGAGAGAACAATTAATGCTATCATTTACATACATCATTTACTGATTTGACCTGTATTCAACTATATAACCGATAACAAATTCAAATTTTGTGCTTCATTTAAAATAAAACATGAATCGAGATGTCCATACTTTAATTACATATAATATGCAACCACACCACTCATTAGAGAGAGCAATTTCACCAAGAATAAAAAAGGTATTAACATTTAAGCCATATAAATATTCCATAATAAAACAATAACATAAAAATCATAAAATATGTAATATATGTATGTATTGTAAAAATCAATTGTTATGATTATATACAATATAATCATAACACTATGACTAAAAGCTGCTCAAAATTTAACTTAGGTGGCCGCTGAATTGAAATTCCACTTGTTCCTCAGAACGCAAAGCTCCGCTATTTTGTAACACTCTACATCAAAGTAGATTTTGGTCCCTGCATTCGTATTAATGTGATATTCCTGTATTATTTACCGAAAATCAAATTAGCAAAAATGATAAGCCAGCAAACAATACCAGCACTCTTATGTGTGGAAAATTATTTTTTTTCTTTTATTTTATATATTTAAAGAAACTATTATCAAATCTATCACACAATATCTCCATATTTCGATCATATCATTCAGCGATTGCTCCATCTCTGAAGAAAATTTTGTTTAATCTTATTTTAAGACTATTGGATACCAATAGTTAGTTAGTTTTGGTTTAGTGCTGTAAGTAGTATGAGTATATTTACTGAGCCTGTGAGGGTGCCCTTCTTGTGACAGGACATGGACTAGTAGCTCCACTCTGATATCAAGATTTCACTAGGTCAGCATCAGTTCTTCTATCTGTTGCCATTAACAGCAAATTCTTGAATTCGACCTCTAATGTTTGACGAGCCTAAATTTGAAAATCAACAATATATGAAAAGATAATGAAGAATATTTGATATATTAAAGGAAATCCATTAAATTAAAATATTAAACAAATAATAATGATGCATATGCAACTTTAGAAAGAATTCCAATAAAATAATATCTTTTAAACCTAACAGAAGTTAAGAAAGCTAGCATGTATTTTTCCCAAAATTATTGTAGTTTGGTTAATAATTTTCTTAATAATGGAATAAAAACATACCTGTATATTTTGTGTTGGTATCTGCAATGCCAAGGCCATACTGTTAGCATCAAAACTTTCATCTAGAGCAATCAAAGCACCATGAACCCCAGATTCGAGTAAATTATTTCCAAATTCCTGAAACACAAAATAATAAAAATTATTTTCGGAAAAATCAATTGTATTACTAAAAACTAAATTAAGCTCACTTTTAACCCAATACTACTAATCCATCTTATTATACGTTCATTGCTCCAGACTAAGACATCAGACACCATAGTCTCTGTCATTTTTCTTCTTTCCTCTAGCGCTGTGCGATCATAGTTCAGTCGTTTCAAACATGAAATACCATACTGAAGACTAGTTCTAAAAAAATACAATGATTTTGTGTCAATTGTATTATAGCTTGTTTTTATGCAGATAAATATGTATATATCATATTATCTTTTTATCCTACCTATGAAAACTATCGACCATTTTTAACTGTCCGCGCAAATCTTTCTTATTTAAATGGTCTAGCATTCTTGCGTCCACAAGACATTCCATAAACGTAGTTCTGTACTGAGGTAAACCAAGACCAGGAAGCCAATAATTGCCTATCCATTCGTGATTCATGTCGCCAAAGGCTAATGTTGTGCGCGATGTCTGAGGAGCTGACGGTGAAGTCAAAGATACCATTTCTTGTATTGCTAAACGTAATTTCAGCCTATGTAGAGGGTTACTTATGCCTAAAAAATAATTCATTTATTAATTAATAATATTAATAATATATATATATATATATATATATATATATATATGAAATTTTATATTTATTAAATTTCATTTATTCGTTCTTTTAACCATTTTGCTACGACAGTGTTTTCCGCAGGAATGGGACGACTGTGCGAGCTAGAAAGCCGCCCAACTATTAGTTACGCAAAATATTTCAAGATTTTCCAAAAATAAAGTTTTGTTTATTTCCAATAAAGAGAAATTGAAACGATCAATTACCTATTTCTCGCTGAATTTCCGTGTCACTCAAGGCGCTCATAATCGCTCCAGATTTTACATTAGCCCTGCATGCAGCAACATACCAAGCGGGCATTCCCACCCACAGTTCCAACCAGGCAACTATCGTCGGCCCGTTCCACAAGGCAAATGGCGTGCCAGCTTTCATAGCTTCAGCTAACAGTTCATGTCTATAGTCATGCTCTCTGAATAAAAAAATCGAAAATAAATGACAATAAATTTAAAAAAAATGTTACTTGTGCAATAATATTCCTACTTCTTTTTCTGCCTTCCATAATCTGCCTTCTGTTGCGTAACTTTCCCTGAATTACTCATTGCATCCACATTGTCTTCTCCGATGGTTGATCCAGCCAATGATAAACCACTCATGGAGTTCATACTTAATGAACCATCTCCTGGCATCCCTGAATCTTTCCCTTTCACCTAT